GAATTTAGTTAGTTAACCCTTAGAAATCGCGTCTTATCGTATTACATTTTATTATGTAAGGACGATCGAAAATCTTCACTGCTACCGGATGAAAACTTCCTTTGTAGTGCGGCAGCTATCCCCATTTCATTTGTAGGTAAATTATAATCATTATAATCACGTGGAGGTGTGAATGGACGTGAAAAACGATGCCAACTATTTGGTGGACTACTGTTGGGTTCATATTTCGGGCGAGGGATACGCAGTTGTTTAATTTCCATTAAGTAGGAATCCATATTTAACAAATTATTGCTTCTAAAAAGAAAATACAAATGGAAAAATAATTAAATGATATTTATAGACATATATAATTAGACTTTTATAAATATATTTATTATAATTATACACATTCATATAGATGTGCACATATTTATATAGTTTTATATAAGTTATATGTAATGTTCAAGCTGTTCAAATGCATATGAATTCGAACATAAAATTTTCGAATTCGAAATGTTTAAATTTGTTTTCGATCTCTATTTGCATAACATATTGTATAATTTTGTATAACAGTAACTGCTTTGTCACTAAATGATGTTCAAAAATGTTCTAAAATGTTGCACAAATTATTCAAAACTCAAAATGCTGGAATGTTCGCATATTACGAATATTATTTGCAGGTCTACTTTTTATACTTTCACTACATAGGCTAAATTTTGGCTAATTTGTTGCATAAACTTCCTTTTTTTTATGTGAAGAAATAGAGTATTCAATAAATAAATGACATCATATATTATATTTATTATTTTTAAATTTTATTTAAAAAAACTTTATCTTTAAATTTTAAATTATTAAGTTATATCTTTCTGTTTTTGTTTAGTAATGTTGTCAACTTATTACTTATTTCTATCTTAAAACAAAAATGTATACTGTAGTACAAGATAAATAAATAAATCATTATTTAAAAATAGAACAGTACAACTTTCAAATTTTTAAAAATGTTATTATTAAAATTATATGATTTAATAAGTGATAATTAAGCAATTTTTACACTCTTACTAAAATATTCCACTGTGAAAAATAATGACTGGTACAAGCTTAGACTTGATAATTAAATTAATATCTTTTAATTGAATAGTCCGATATATATAGCTTTTTTTTATATCCAAGTTTTACATTAAGTTTTGTTTAATAATATACATATATATATAAATTCATATACAATACAAAGTATTTTTAATAAAAATACATTTTGTATGAAATTACAAAAAAAAATTTCATACAAATTTTGTATGAAATTTGGCAAGTATGAGTTATATCAAAGAGTATATAAAGATGTTTATATACTCTTTGGTTAGATTTTATTTTTAAAAATAAGAGTTATTCTTGATTTTTATGTTTATAAGACAAAAATAACAGTTATTTGTGCGTTTTAAAATAAAAAACAGGGTGTAAGAGTTATTTCTGCTTGGAAAAAATAAAAGTCACATAAAATAATTATTTTTGATGAATATAATATGCAGCAAATTTAATTATTATTTTATGAGTTTTATTTTAAAAGGCATATATATAAGAAGCATGCATAATATTAAGAATGAAAGTTATTAGAATGATGACTTCCTACTTAAATATGAGTTTAGACAACTTTTTGTTCCCGATTTTTTTCTCAAAATTTTTTCTTTGAAATAAAAGTTATTTTCGGTATTTGTTTTTTATTTGTTAGTTACAATTTATTAAAGAGTAATATATTTTGACAATCATCAAAATTTTAATTTTAGTGTATATCACATATACACTTCATATTTTAATTTTATATATACGTACATATATAATACATAATATAATATATATAATATATATATAATACATTAATTTTACTGACTAATTAACATCTGAAAAGACCACAGTACTTTTACAACGTATAATTTATACTATTTAGATAGCATTATTTTAATTAATATGAAAGTTAAGGAAATAGTTAAATATGTTTAATAAAATAACTTGAATTAAATTTAATTAAAAAAAATCAAGAAATAAATAAAATTAAGTCATAATTAAGTCTGTTAAACGACATAACATAAACTTAATTAATTGTTGCAAAATTTGCACAAAAGAATACTGGCACGACTGCAAACATCCAGGCAAATTGAGTTGATTGTTCAGATGGAAAGTGAAAGTACATTTTCCAACAAAACAGCAAACAAGAAAATAAAATGTTATATATTTGTGTATATTAAAGTATAATAGAAAATAAAAAAATAAATAAATAAATAAAGAATTATAGTAAAATGGGGAAAAAGAAAAGCAAACGCTAACCATGCACATGCGCAATCTCGTTGCATTTTGTAAAAATTTTATTAAAAATGAAATGAAGCAAGAAATGGAGTTGCCACAATTTTTGTTTAATTTTAATTTCATTGCTGCAACTCATTGCGGCGGAAAATACGTTGTTGCAACTCCGCAGTTTTCCGGTATTGAAATTATGTTGTTATATACCGCTTTGCCCCCACAACAAAAGAGTTGTGTATTTTTTCACACTACAAATTCAAGCAAATTTAGTATTAAACCAAGCCAGGCGTCGCCGCACACAAGTTCATTGAAACTGAAATAAAAATTATGAAATGTGGAAGCTTAGACTTTGCTTTCAAGCTGTTAACTTGCCTGTGTCGTTCGATTAAATGTACATAAAATACATATTCTATCTTGACATGCAAGTATCTGTATAGTAAATAAAATAGTCAAGTAGAACACCGACAACTGAAAGGGTCACTAAGCAAATGTTTAGCAATCAACAGAAAGTAGACACTTAAAATTTTTACCCAAAATAGAGGTCGCCTACCTACTGGCACAATACGAGTAATTGTGCAACGCCATGAACAGCATAAGCAATTGAACCATTTGACCAGTGGACCTTCTTGCCTTACCCCACTCCTTGTCCCTGCCATGACCAACTTGACACAATTCTAAATACCTGTTTTACAACGTCGTGTCGCAGTGTAAAATCTCTAAACTTTACGAGTAGTATTTAGAAAAACGTCTAGCATTAATAGCCAACTTAGTTGCGTATCTTACTTTTCTCAAAAGTAAGACTCAAAACTGGGTCGATAGAGAAATGTACTGAAAACGTTCAGATGTTATATGTGTGCATTCAAATGTAAACTTTTTTGATGTGTCTAAAGTACAAATGGAAAGTAAATGGAGTTTCCAAGTGAATGTTGTTTTATGTTTGAGCAACAGTTGGTCTTTCGGTTAGTTTTTCGGTTGAACGTCAAGATGGCAACAAAACCGAACCATAGCTCTGCCAAAGCAACAAAAACAAAATAAGGAAGTAACAGACTTTACGCCCACCTACTGAACGCCGTGGTTTTACTGTTAACATAAAAATTAATTTATTTTGTTTGTATTGCAAATGCGTCTTTACGACTTACTCCGCAGTTTGGCATTGTGTAAAAAAGATTAAAAATTATTACTTAATTTAGAAAAATTTGTTGTGACCTTATTTAATAGTAGAAATATCTCAAAAAGATCTGAGATTATTGTCTTTGAACAATGAAAACTTTCATTTCATGAGTAACAAATGTTATTTTTTTTTTAAACATTTTATTTTATTTTTTTTTTGTTTGATGATAAATAGAAATTTATTACTTAATTATTATTATAAGTTATACCAGTAAAATTTTTCTATTATATTAAAAAAGAATGTTAAAAAAAGTTTTATTTAGAAGATTGAACACAACAGAAGATTGAAAGAACGACACTTTCAAGAAGTTTTTAATAAAATATTAAAAATATGAAATATTTATGGAAAGCGATTTTTTACATATTGTTTATATTTGTACATATTGGTTAATTTAGTTAAACACAAATATTAGTATTAATAATAATAATTATAATAAATATATAATAATATAATAATAATATTATAATAATAATGATATAATAATAATATTGTAATGATAATATAATAATCAATAATAATAATATAAAAATCAATAATAATATAATAATAATAATAATATTATATTATTAATATTATTATTATTATTATAATAATGTAATAATAATAGTATAATAATATAATGATAATAATATTATAATGATAATAATATAATAATGATAATAATATAATAATGATAAAAATATAATAATATAATAATGTAATAATAATGATGTAATAATAATATTGTAATAATACTAATATAATAATCAATAATAATATAATTATAGTATTACTAATAATGTGATAATAATAGTATAATAATAATGATAATAATATAATAATGATAAGAATATAATAATAATAGTATAATATTGATAATAATATAATAATAATAGTATAATATTGATAATAATATAATAATAATAGTATAATATTGATAATAATAACATAATAATAATAATAATAATATAATAATATTAATAATATACTTATAATAATAATAATATAATAATAATTATATAATAACAAAATAATAATAATGTAATAGTAATATAATATAATTATAATAATATAATAATAATTATATAATAATAATAATACAATAATAATATAATAAAAAAAATATAATAATATAATAATAATTCGAGGCTGGGGAACAAAAAATGTCTACACACACCCGCAGAAAACGTCTTTCTGTGGGTAGTGCACGGTTCGCGCTAATCGCTGACATGCTAAAAAACTCCCCTTTCCAGGATGAAGTACATGACCCGGAACCACCACTGGGTATTGCTTCAGGTCATGCACATCCTGATTGTAAGATATAATCTTACGTCGTTGCTGTTGTACCTGCGTCCAGGCGCCTCTTTTTTGCGCGAAGTACTGCCTCCACGTGCCTCGCCACCACGTTCCAGTTGTTTTCACTTGCTAGTAGTAAGGGTACTACATTTTCCGGGGTCCAAATGCCGCCTATCTGTGCTTGCAGGTTGGTTCTCTCGATTAACCATTGATTGCATTCAAAAAACGTGTGTTCTACATCGTCGACATCAGCATCGCCATAAATGCAACTCTGCTCCTCTCGAATATTCATCCGGTACAGATATTTGCCGAAGTACCCGTGCCCGGAGAAGAATTGTGTCAGGTAATAGTTTACCTCGCCGAACTTCCTTGTGGTCCAGGCGACTAAGTCCGGGATGAGTCTTGCAGTCCACCTACCACTAGTTTCGTTAGTCCACCGACTTTGCCACTCTATCATTGTGTGTTCCCGATAATTTGTGGCTACGCTGCTGTTTCCGTTGCTTTGGCGGCTTAACCATGCTTGCCTCCGTTCCATGGCCATGAGGTCGATGGGTATTGAGCTGCTTATAACAAGGACCGCCGCAC